GTAAAGGGAAAATGTTAGTAGTTCAATTTTAAGTAATAATAACGGTCACCTATCAGTAATCCGAAATGATATTTTCTAGAAATAACGTTTAGTCGAAATTTTATAAACTCGAAAGTAATTTTGAGAGGAAAATGTTTTTTCTTTTAAACCTAAGTTAACCTAACCTAATCGTGTCTTTGCGATAAACATTCAAAATATCCTGAAACAACAACTGTTTCGTTATAATTCGGTTTTCGCTGTAATGAGAATTCGAACAAACGTTATTTCGGAAAAAAAATAATAGGGGTTAAAGTATGAAATTGCCGATTTGCACTGAAAATGTAAATTGTTTATTTTTTAAATTTTTAACTTTATTTAATCAAAATAGTTGCCATTATTATCTATACATTGCTGCCATCTAATGGGAAGGTTATTAATGCCTTTGCGATAGAACTCCGACGATCTAGACTGCACAAACTGTGTGAAAGCATTTTGTACTGCCTCCTGGGAAGAAAACTTCTTGTCACGTAGATAATTGTCCAAATCACGAAAAAAATGGTAGTCCGTTGGAGCAAGGTCTGGTGAATACGGAGGATGACGAATGGTTTCTAGCTGCAGTTCTTGAAGGGTCAAAATGGTTTCTCGTGCTGTGTGAGGTCTCGCGTTGTCGTGGAGCAATAATGGTGAAGATCGATTCATGAGTCGGGGCTGTTTTACTGCTAGTTTTGTCAACATGGTTCGGAGTTCGGCACAATAGACATCTGCCGTTATTGCTTGACCAGATCGGAGAAAACTATAGTGAATAACACCATGCTGAGACCACCAAACAGTTACCATTACCTTTTTATTGGTAAGTTATGCTTTAGGACACTGTTGTGGCATTTGACCTGGGGTCAGCCATTGCATTTTTCTTTTCCGGTTATCATAAAGAATCCACTTTTCATCACATGTTACAATTCGATCCAATATTCCTTCATTTCTGTACCGGTTCAACAAGGCAACACAAGTTTCAACACGCGTTTCTTTCTGCAGATCAGTCAAATCATGAGGCACCCATTTTTCGTATTTTTTTATTTTATTGATTTGACGCAAGTGAGTCAATATTGTGGGTAAGGTAACGTTAAACCATGCCGCTAATTCCTGGGTAGTTTGATTAGGATCGGCTTCCACTATCTCTCTTAATTCATCGTTATTCACCTGTGTGGGCGGTCTTCCTCGTGGCTCGTTCTTTAAGTCGAAATTTCCATCACGAAAGCGTTTAAACCAAAATCGCACGGTGCGTTCATTAGTAGACCCCTCTCCAAACGCAGCATTGATATTGCGGGCTGTATCTGCCGCGTTAGTTCCGCGTCGGAACTCGTATTCAAAAATCACTCGAATTTTCGCAGTATCCATCTTTCTTGTCTAAATTTAATAACAAAAACAATTGAAAGTCGATATTCAAATGTTTCAAATTAAAAAAAAAAAAAAATCACAGAAACCATTTGAAAAAAGTTTCATTCGAAAACCTCAAACCATGAAGATTCTATGAAAATTCAAAGAACCTATTGCAATAAAACGGCAATTTCATACTTTAACCCCTAATATTTCGACTTCGTGATATTGGCATACCAACAACTATTCCATTTATACTATATTCCTAGTAGATCCCTTGGTGAAGGTCTGTTGAACACCCTTGTTTATAAACACTTTTTATTTTTATTTTATTATTATTTATTTCTGCCACCAAGCAGTAACGTAATCTTTACTGCGTTCCATTCTTGTAGAGTCAATGACAAAAACCAGTAAAACAACAAACTGGTGTTGAATTTCTTTGGCGCATTCCGCATCCCCTCTATGCCCCTATGTATTACCCTTAGCAAGTCTTCGTGGGTGCAGCTGGTCAGACATGTTACGGTTTAGAAGGGTAAGAGTACTAATGAAACTACGAACATTACACTCAAATGTCAAAATCTCAGTGTGACTCCACTTGTACATTAATAATGTAAAAACAAACAATGTTGACATGTTTTACAACTCATACAAAATATTTGAATGCAATATAATATTTAAAGCGTACGCTGTATATGAATTTTTTGTTTAGCTTTATAAATTTATTAACATAATATTATTACATTTTTTATTTTTCTTATTACTTATAATAGCACAATGTAAGTATATATAATGTTAATGATCTATATAAACTAAGGAAAATATGAAAAAACTCCCAATTTTCAAGCTAAGAACCTGGATATTTCCACTAGATTGTGAAATCAAGTAAGTACTTTAATTATTCACTTTCTTTGATCAGTTTGAAAAAAGAACTGCGCAAATGGCTTTTGGAAAAATAATATTATTCGGTTGACGATTTTTTCAAATATAAAGACTGATCTGTATCGATGCATATGTTAATCTTGATTTACGTTATCCAATTTAATCATGAATTTATATTATAATGTATTTTATTATTATATTTGCATGCTTTTGCCAAAGCTAAATGGGATTAAGTTCATCAATTTAATTTTAACACTAACATTTATAATGTGCCTACCTTATCAAGGTTGGCACGGTTAAATCATTTTGATTTAAATCATGGTTTATATCGTGATTTAAATCAAATGATTTATCCAATAAAAATCAGTGATTTAATCAAATGTGTTTAATTTTATTTTCTTTCAAAGACATCTACATAAAATCGGACAATTACATTTTAAAGACTAGGATCTTTTACATCTGAGAAATCAATATCATTATTATAATACTCAAGCAAAAAAACTAGCTTGCCAGCCTTTTCAATTCCCAGTCGGTTTCTTAATTTACTATGAACAATTCCAAAGGTGGAAAACACTCTATCCACAGCAGCTAAAGAAGCTATCGATCCAAACAATTGCTTAACCATTGGAAAAGTCTTTGACTGTTAATCTTCACTAAATATATTTTTCTGTGACATCAACCACTCTAGTGGTGTCACATTTTTTACTTTTATATATTTTTATCTACCATATGATTAATTAACCTTTTACATTACTACGTTTTACGCAAAAATATAGATAACTGTAACTGTATGATAAAATGAAAAAACAAAAAAATTGTGGTTAATTAGGATTTTTTTTTAAATCGTGCATTATTAGATTTTTTTCCAACCCTGTACCCTATTTATAGCAAATAAATGACATTTGATTTGATATTATATTAAAACAGAATCAGTTGAGTAAGGTACGATATCGGTGTCACAGGAAGGTATTTGCAACTTCACATAGTAGCACCTATTTTGTGTATGATGGGTATGTTTTTAAACGTCTCAATAAGTTGAGTATTTTATGGTACTAATAATACCTTTTAGAACAAAGTATGATTTTATTTTTATATTTAACATTCTAATATTTTGTCAGTATTGTGTATTATTATTTTGTTTAAGCTATTATTGGTGACACTGGTACGGTATGGTAATGTTTGCCATTGAGGTGAAAGGATTTGCCAATTGGGCTTAGTGTATTCTCTGATTCTTGCCAGATTTACAGAAAAGAGATGGTATTGTAATACTGTGGCATTGATAATATGAAATATTTCTATTGTATTGTATAAATTTGATACAAATTTTTTTAAGTATTAAATTCCAGTCTGTATAAAAAACCGCCAACCAAACCGCAAGTGTTCTACAGAATTATACCAGCACTAACACAAAAAACTAACAATGTTGTCAAGAATAAAAATGTCTATTGAATAAAAAAATTCTTTTCACTGCTAACGCCTAAAAAAAATTACTATATTTGCCAAGCATTATGAATAAATTAACTCAGGTAAATCATCTCCTATATTTCATTTAGGTTAGATATTCTACAAAGTACTTAACAGAATTTGAGGATATATAAAAAAGAAAAGAATAAAAATTAGACCAATACTAAAATGGTTCTTGGATTTTTTTTGCCACACGTGTCTAAGCGTATTAGTTTATTAGCTATGTCAAAAACACAATGCCCATTTACGTAGTTATTTACATCGCAATGGAATAAAAGAATATCTAGCAGTTTATACCTTAATTTTTCTACGTACGTCATGTTCCATGTCAGAAAGAATATGTTTTTTTGATAATCATGTTTTTTTTTTAATTAAACAAATGAATAATGCAATTACTTACCGCAATGCTGCTGGCTGGAAATTTTGAATTTGGAACTGCGGCTGAACGTAAAGGTGAAGGTCGTTGTTAACATAAACCACTTCGAGTATTTATTTTATCGATTATTATTAGGAATAATTTGAGGTATAACGTTGGATAATCTCTCTTATTATATCTATATCGCACAATATTCCAACGGCGACGCGAGCACACAGAGCACAGACCAATAGAGTGAAAACTTGTCAATCAGCTGACATTTGACTTTGACGTTCCAGTCGCCTGAAACTTAGAAGATAGTAATCGCATATTTACTACACCAACGCCAACAAATCGTTTTACACACGATTTTAAAGTTTTGAACGATGTTGGTGTCATAAAAAAGAAAAAATTGTGGAATATTTGAAGGCCAAGCGGTTCGTAACTGTTTCGAGAGATGTCGCTAGTAGTAATGAAGTAAGTTAGGAAAACTCGTTGACTTTTTATAATAAAAATATTATTATAAAAACGTTTGTATATTAAGTCATACTTGTAGAATTGTGGTATTGTTTGAGTTTCCTGTGATTAACAGATTCGGGAGAAATAAAATAGGTAGGTATCAATTTCAATAAAAAAATAATATTTGTCAGTTTTTTTTTTATTATTTTTCATTGCTGCTTATTTCTACGCTACAGTAAAATTTGTAATAATAATTATAATACTATATACAATGTAAGTCGATTTCCAATTAAATATCCATAGAAAAAGTACATAAAAGCAATTTTAGTTACAATTAGAGCAGTGCAGTTTTTTTTTATAAAAATTCAAAGTCAATATACTTAGGTCAATAAATTATTAATTCCGTACACGGACTAACCAATCGCATTTTCTCTTCCGTTATTAAAACGTTATTGTTTTGTTTTATTAGTTGCTATCATTAAACACCAAACTGCAATATAATTTAAAATAGTTCAATACAAAATAAATAACAGAAAATAAATATTAATTTTAAATAAATAAAGCAGTATACATAATTTATATTAAAAAGTTTCGTATAATAGTAGGTTCGTGTAGGTAGCTACATAAGTAGTACCTACCTACAAGTCTTTAATAACATGACACTACTATAAATAAATATTTTCATTAGAATCCGTTGTCTAGCCGCGTCTTTAAAAACATTGTGTTTTACATTCTACACAACTATCTATATACCTTACATGTTGCACGAAGTCGGCACCCTGTACTGCTTCGTTTCCGTAGGTCCATTTACTTTGGGATTTTGCCCTTGTTGAATCTGGTTCCTGTACTCTTGGAACTTCTGGTCCAATTTCGGACGGCACACGACCTGAACGGACTTCACTGAGTAACCATTGCCCTGGCAATGAGACTGGCATGCGTTCATTGGGGCTGTGGTGATGCAAATTTCGCCATGGTTCTCATAATACTGAACTTGCTGTTGCATTTGGCAAGTTCCAAGTTTTTTGGAGTATCCCCTTGATCTGTAAACATTTTCAGACTGCCTGTCCTCCTCCGAAGAAGAGTCAACCATAGCTTGCTGCCAATACTTGTCTGAACGAAGAACGTTTGTGTTTTTGAACCTGCGCTGATAAGGTACTTCTTTAGCCTGGCTTTGTAGTTGCTGGGTCTGATAGTCACTGTTCTCTACATTAAGAGCATATGATGCACCGTAATATTCAGGCCGATCAACCAGGCCATTAGGAGTCATGTAATCATCAAGAGGTTCACCACTCATGTAACCGCAGATGCCTCTAGTGTTGTTTCTGTTGTTTTTAGCCAACACAACCAGTCTTTGGCCGTCATACATGGCACGGAGTCGATCTTCGCGGATGTTTAGAATGAGAACACCATCTGGCTGGGTATAGTATTCGAGGAAAGGCGCGTTATCATCGTCGTCCCAGTACATGGTCAAAATACCATCGGAAACTTTCTTGGAATTGGTTTTTACTGTCACATCACGTTTCTTCGATTCCTGCTGCTCATCGTATTTCGTCGGTTTGATCTCAATCTCTAAATCTCTTCCGGTTTCAGATCTGAAAATGGTTTTGTGATTATTTATAAGGATTTTTGATATCTTCGACTAAGTACCTACAGACGACAGCGCATCAAGCTACACATTGACGGACCTTGTTCCGTTGCACTGGAGGTGATATTCGCACAAAAGTTTGAATACATATATAGCCTGATGTGCTGTTGACTACAATATATTCATAAACACATCGTGAAGACGGTGCGAAAACTTACTGGTAAGAAATGTATATCTCCTGCTCTTTTTCGCTTGGTTTTCTGGCGAGAACGACGAGCTGGTCCATCCTCTGCGAGTTTTCTGGTCTGGGCGCATTTTGCATTACCACATGCCACGAGCTTGTCAATTTGTAGTTGTAGCTACGTTCGCTAAACGTGCGAATTTGATTATCATCAACGGCGCAAAAAGCTGTAAATATTGTAAAAAAGAATAGGTTTAGGGACATGAACTCCTGTTTAATGAGTCAATTATTCAACTAAGATATATAGAATACCAATTGACTACTACGCATGACAAAGCAAATACAGTAAACAGGGTAATACTTACGTTGATACTGATGACGAGTGTAGTAGTTACCAATACGTTCGCTTAGCTTAAAGGGAGAGTAAGTAGATGCGGCGTTGACAGCAGATTTAGGAATAGGAACGTTCTTGACTTGCACTTCTCCATATCTGGACTTGAGCATCAAGTTGATCATATTTTCCATATAAGAAGTCTGCGCTTCAAGTTCGATTTTACCATCAGGCAATGTTTTCAGAGGGTTAACATCTGAATACCAGAATCCGAAGCCTTCCGCCAATCTGTAAGCTTGGAAGAGCAAATATTTGAAAGCAGGGTTGACATTTTTGTACGTAATAGACGCCTTCAAGTAGTCCGGAGCGTGCGCCATAACGAGCATCTTGTGGTTGGCCTCTTGGTAATAATTATTGTTGGCGATCTCTTCCATGGCTTGCTGTGCCAAATGAGTCTTCTGCAGTTCTTCTGTGTATTTCTTGCTGCGATCGGTGTAACCACGGATCTCCACACTACCGTCTTCATCATTTCCAAACTTAATTTCAGCATCAAAGTCCATTTTTAAATCTTTCTTCAATGCTTCTACGAGGTTCATGGCACTTACTTCAGGTCTGCGGACGGTAACAGCAGCATTAATTTGGTTATGTTCGTCAGCCGAGTTTCGGCTAGCAAATACGGCAAATTGAATCTTGCGGTCCACTGGACTCTGGCCGATGGCAGCGGTAAGCGTGTATTCAGCTTTTTGGGGACCATCGAACGACGCGCTAAGGTCAACAACTTGTGCTTTGGCTGTGTTAATACCTGAAACTACACGTTTTACCATCTCCTCACGACGTCCAGCGCTGTTGGGAGTTATGTCTTGTACCTTTGATGCAGCGAAAGGTTTCTGGTTTGATTGTTTCTGATTATAAACGACGTCGTACGCAGCTGTGACTGTTACACCCTTGTTTGATGATTGCTTTCCCAGGTACCTAAAGTTGTAGTGTGTCATAGCGATGTCTCTCTGATACAGCATATTGGCAATACTCGAAAGGAGATCATTAGAGCGGATCATGCCGGCAAAGTTCGTGTAGTCTTTAGAGTATGAGTAACCCTGGAATTGGAACTGGGTGCCAGCAGATTGACCGAACTTGTAGTCGATGGAATTGACCTTGTTGTTGCGATTAATTATTTTAGTGGCCGGATCTTGAGAAACAGGCACCAAAGAGTCTTTCTTTTGACTGGTACTGTACGGCCAAACGCTGTAATGCGCAATCGTGATATCTTCTTCAGGACGCAGAGGTTCTAAATGGATTTTTACTTCTCCAGGCTTCATTTGTATATCTGCTTTAACAGGAATATACAATTGAGCTTTGTTGACGACTCCCACTGAAGCGAACTTCTCAACAAGTGTATCGTAGAAACCAACACTGCCATCGATATTTCTGGCATAGGTGATCTGAATCTCTTTTTGAATGGAACCAGAAAAGTCCTTCGGCTGCTTAGTTAGATCCATGTTTCCCTTAACATTACCCTGTACGTGCAAAACAGTAGGTTCCTTGTATTTATAAATAAAAGGCATACCCATAGCTGTAGGGAACATTAGAGACACTTGAGCTTGGTTTAAAACCTTAGTGTAATGTTTATGTATTCCTTGTGTAAGGTTCGTAATAAGGTCTCTTATAACAATTGGTAATTTTTTTAAGTCGTCTTCGTTGAAGGTGAAATATCTCTCTAGCTGCATGAAGTTAATGTTAAAGTCAGCTTCCAATGGTTCCTGGGGGTCGTACTTAAGCTTCAGTAATTCAGATATTTTGCTGGCGGAGTACTTGTGATTTGGCTCAGATCTTGACTTCTTTTGCCTGATTCGGTCCATTTGTTGTTGAAAGTAGTCCAAGAATTGTTGCACACTTGAGAAGGAAGCGCCAATCTAAAATTAAGAAATAAAAATGTTACGACTTGTTATCCAGTTAGTGACTATTAGAAATATTAATACGTATCCCGAATACCCACCTCATTCCAGTCAGATGATTTGCTTGTTACATAATATTTCAAATATCTGGGAAGTAGATTGTCATCGCTGCTGGTGTAAACGAAAATATCGGCAAAGTCAAATCCGTAATCTCTGTCATAGTAATCACTCCTCGCAGTGTATTCCTCAGCGAATTTTTCCTTAGTCAGCATGGGACGAACTGCCTCTGCAGATTTAGCACTAGAAACAGACAAAAATGATCATACTATTATTTTAATTAAACTAAAAAAACACCATAATTAATTTATTAATTACTTACACATCACTGAAACGTAGATTCTTCCATTCAGCAACAGCTTCAATGCTTGTCTTAAGAGCAGAACGGACATGTTTACTGGGGTCATCATGGGTCATCTGAGCCATAGCCTGCATCATCGCCGGGTTGGGGAAAGCAATGAAAATATTTCTGATAGCAGCTACTCTTACTTCGTAGGGCTCAGCAGTATTTCTCAATAGACTGTAGAGCACATTTCGGACGTACTTGTCCCGTTGGAATGACAGAACTTGAAGATTATTAATTATATGGGTACGAAGGTAAGTTGACACGTGGATTTTGCCTTCTAAGTATGGAGCGAATACTTTCAATATTTGACGATGGCCTAAGTTTCCAATAGCCTTGATATAAACCTGGGCTTTGCTACTGTCCTTTTGCTGAACAGCTTTCTCGAGTTCATTAGCGAGAGGGGGGAGGATTTTTTCCAGGACAAAGTTATCGTATTTATCAGCGAAACGTCCGTACAAGTGAGTGGGGTATAAGTAATGAGCAGTGTAGTTGTTCACTTGACCCATATAGATGAATCGAGTGGCTGCGATTAGGGCTGTGGTGTTCAGGAACTGCTGCTGCCTGACTTCGGGGTTCATTGCCATTTCGAAAAATTTAGTCATAACTTCCTTAGTGGGGTAGCGCAAAGTTCTAACCAGAGTAGCAACGATTTCAGCTGCCTCCTCACCTTGAATTTTCTTCTTCTGGATCCATGATAGAATTTGTTTAAAAGCGGGAACACCGCCAGATTGAGCTACAGCGTCACGGTATATCATCCACATATCCGCCTTGATGACGTTATTAGACGACTTTGCTCCCTCAATGCTAGTACTAGCCTGGTTCAGCTGTTCAAAACTCATCGACGAAATGAGGTGGACAAGAATGTTGAATTTGGTCAAGAAATCAGTCTTGGGCATATTGTTGGGGTTTTGCATCTGTTGAGCAAGTTCTTGAACAAGTTTCTGAGCATTTGCTGCCTTCTGCTTTGTGCCCATGTCTTCTTCAGAGTTCAAGTATAAAGCTTCATAAGCAGGCTCGTTTATAAGAGGAACGTTGTCATTGACATCTGAAGGGAAGTCAGCCTCCTTAGATTCCTCCCAGCTCGATCCATCACTGTGTGAAGTACGGCTCTTAAAAACTTTGTTAATAGAGATCAGTTTAGTTTTTAGTGAACGGCGCATTCTATTTTGAGATTCTTGCTCTTCCTCGACTTGATTCTGCTCCTGAGACGTAGATGAAACAGAATCATCGCGGTTTGAATTTTGTTTTTTCGTTATAGCATATAAAAGATTCCTAATCTCTCGGCGTTCTTCGGACTTCTGCCATTCGGGTTCCTTGTCATCTTCGTAGCTAGTTAAACTAAGCTCAACTCTACTGAGTACTTCAGCCTTTTGTTTGCCATATAAATGAGGATGTACGTTGACGGTGCTTGTGGTTTCAGCCTTATAGATGGCCTGACTGTCTACAAGAATGCGGGATGTGGTGCTGCGACTGACAAACTGTTTTTCGTAAATATTCTGAGCGGTTCCAGTCCATTTAGCGCCTTGTGGTACTCCAAAGTTATACGCGACTCTCTGGTGGCAGTGGTCGTAATTCTTGCTTTTAGTGATTTCGATAGGATCTTCTTTCAGTGAGAATTTTGGCAGCTCCCGGCGCCATTCAGACAAAACAGGGGAAACAGTGTAAAGGGTTTCGCAGTCACCAGTGACATCAGTTTCCATCCTTCTGAACTGGCCCTGTTTGGTTTCCCTGTCAAAAGTGTTCCTTGGGCTATGTTCATTATGATAGTGAGCTGACAAATCAACTTGCAAAGCACTGATCAAACCCTTGAGTAAGTTCTCGTGAGAAAGGGACAGGGAAGCCGGCGCGCTCATAGAGAGGACGCGTCCTCCTTTAATAGTAACCTCGAAAGGTTTATCCAGTCCCTTAACGGGCTGATACTTAAGATCAGAGGGCAGAGTGCGGTCTTTAGGTAAATTTTGATGGACGTCAGCATGCTGCGAGTTTTCCAATTTTATTTGAAGACGGTTAGGAGCTTTGACACGGACGATAAAGTGAGCCTTGAAAGCATTGCCAGTACTGGCTCCTTCTTGAAGTCTAGCCAAGGTGTATGAATTTACATCATAGCGGTACAGCTTTCCTACTTGCCAGGGCCATGTTTGGTTTTCGACGATATTATCGTCACTCGAATGTCCACATGTGACCGCCGCTGTAACAACACAGAATTTATATATTAATATCAGTTATAAAACACATGACAAAATTTGAATAAATAATCGAGAGATTTTTGTGACGGAATCTTATTTTTTTATAGCACCAAAACTAATCTTTTACATGGCTCGGACAATATATGCTAGAATTTTACGGGCTTTAAATTATCACAACTTTGAAGCAATGCAAAACGTTTATTAAACCGTGTAATAATTTATATATAATTTAATGGAGTTTATTACAATTTGAAACAATGTTAGTTTTTTTAAACACTCGCTTAAAATAAAAATATTTAGATTTTTACACAATTGCATTGTAATCCATTTTGGACGAAACGGTACTAAGCTTAACAGAAAGGCGTAAGTTAAACCGCACAAACACAAGAAGTTTAAATGTTGTGAAGTTAAACTTACCTATAAGCGCGGCCAAAACAGCAAACTTCATAATAACAGAACCAAGTATACGCTTTAGGAGAAACAGATGTTTTAGCTCTAGGAGAAGAAGACTTCTGGTTAAACAAAATCGTGCTACTATCCTTTATACTAAGTCATACGCGTGTAAACTAAAGAGATCAGGACCTATATTTGACCCTTGGATAACGCCTACGTAGCTTTATTACAAAATACATATTCACTTTTGCAGTTTAATTTTAAACCTAGAATTAAATATATTATAATGTTATACACAAAATTTCTACATTATGGTAATCGTTGCCATTATCCATGGAAGTCGTTTAATTATCGATTTATGATAAAGGCTAAGGTACTTAAAGCTTACGATTGGTGAAATTTCAAAACTAAATACGATTGGTTTCCGATTTCTGTTTTTAAGTGTATAGTAATTTGATAAATTTACTAATTATAGTTACAAACGAAATCTCCCGGTTTTCGGCGTTGTATAAAGCTAATCAGGGATAGACGCAGAAAGGTATTGTAACTCAGTCTTAGACTATGTTAAATATCATACATTAACACTGCGCCTAAATTTTTTTCTAGAAAAAAAATATTAATTAGAAACTGACATTTCTCGACTTTTTATAGAAAAAGATAAGAAGAAGAATAAATGTAAGCTTTTTGTCAAAGATTGTTGTAATTATTCATTTTAAAATGGAATTAAATCAGGTTTTCAACTTCAAAATATGCGTGGTCATAGTGTAGTTATAAAAAATTAAAATAATTTCTATTTATGGCTTTTTTGACAAGTTAAATTATGGTAGGACATATTTGTTCTTTCCTGTATTGGTATATTCGCTAGATTTTTATTATTGAAAATATTATTGCACAAAAGTCAATTAATACAGCGTTTTAGGAATGACATTTCACAAACTGCAAATGTAATTTTGTAAAACACGTGTTCATATTTACTAAGTTGCAATTAAAAGTGAAATTAGATCTCGCACAGCTAGCGTGATTATGATAAGTCCAAGGGTAATGGCGGCGTGATTTCTATTCCCTCGTGTAAATCAATATTACAATGTTGTCTACTTTCCGTATGGTTAAGAATATAACCGTTATTTTGTAGACTGTGGCCTTTGTGGTGTAATAAAGGCCACATCTGAAAAAACACATTTTCCAGGAGAGAGTTTAAGGATTCTACGAACGAGTAGAAGTTCGATTATTAAAGTACTGATTGAGATGACCTATTTGTAATAATAATAATAATAACGCACAAATTGATGACTCCACACCAGGGAGGGAACTCTCTTAAATTCTTTTATGTAATGATTATTGAAAAAAATCCCTAATACTATAGATTACAACAATTCGTATATAATTTCGTCTCGTAGTACCTATTTTACGCAATCGCTGCATAAAGAGGGTTCTTAAAGTCGAGTACAGTGTTTAGGCCACCAGGCTTAGTCCAGTGTTAGAGTAGTTTTTTAAATCCTAATTATGTAAGTATTGCATACATACAAAACTTTTCTACGAGTAAATAAAATAATGAAACACAAGTATTATTTAATGTATATTTTGTTAACAATCCATGACCACAAACTCATACGAAAGCCAAACAAACGCTATAAAACAATAAACCAAAAAGTTAGAATAGAATTGGCCATTATTTGATTTTTAATTCGGGACTTAATCACGTACAAAACATATTTTATTTATCCCGACGTTTCGGACATATTGCAATGTTCATGGTCTCGAGTGTTGTGTGGCGATCTAGTGAGAGCTAGGACTTTCTCTTGATCTTCATTATTTATTTATGCACTAGGGTGCATAATAATAATGAAAATCAAGTGCAGGTACTTAGAAAAACTCGCACGGCTAGAAGATGCTGACACCCGCATCTTCAGTCCCTTCGAGACCATGGGCGTTGCAATACGTCCGAAACGTCGAGGTAATTAAAATATGTTTTATACGTGATTAACCAATATATCATATACCAATATAGTCACATATGTTTGATATTACAATTTAGCAAAAATACGACATTTTTTTTATATAACAGAAGTTAGAGTTGATATAGAAAAATAATAAAAGTCCAAGTTGTTGTTGCATACACTTGTATTTATGACACCTTAACAATAAACATAATTATTTTAAAATTAACGACAGCAACTGTCGCACAAGTTAACAGTTATTATACTAAGATATTTAATCTAAAATGAGCAATAAAGAGATCTCTAAATTGGAAGCGAACTTAAAAACTGACTCGTGATTATAAAACTATACTTAAAAATTAAAATTAAAGAGATTCTTTGGAAAGCATGTATTTTGTACATACATATTTATTTAAAAAAAAAATGTTTATTTATTTTATTGAACATCATGGCGTCTTTACTACCATGATATTAATTATATTAACTAAAGTACTACGTTATGATGGCCGTTTAGACGTTTGTCAGCTCATGAAGTTTCGTATTAATTCATAACTAGGTACGTTGAAGTAGCTAATTATTATTATTATTGTTTATTTATTTATTACATTTATAGCACTAAAAAAACAAAACATTCCAATATAACATAAACTTAACTATGTTTTTCCGTGTACCGCTCATTCGTCGTACAAATAAATTCCTGTGTAGTGCGTTCGTACTGCTGCGTATTGACATTACTCTAGTGTGCGTGAGAGTCGTCAATAAAGGGTATCACTAAACCTGGATCCAGGATCCAGGTCTTGTATGTACATTTCACCGCCGAACACGAGTCTATTCTAATAATTGGTCGTGAACAGTGCTTCAATAATAATCTAAAGTTAATACCTATGTTTATTGTTAGTTAAAATTAGAAGGTTATAATTATTATATATTTCAATCACGTGTTATTCGATTACATTGTTGTCAATTGTGACGTGTAGTAAAATTTATGGAATTTACAATTTTACGACACAACTCTCGACATTTGTTTTTTGGAATTAGAATTGTTTTTAAATGAAATCTAATATGAAAATACTCTTTTTGAGTTAATACACTGTTGTAATAATAGTGCGATATATTTAAGTAATTTTTATTTTCGTTTTATTAAAACTTTTTAATCAGCTACCTCTTGCAATACTAGTTATAAATCTAAAAAAATCCTATATATAATTTCGATAATGAATTGAGATGTGACCTCACTATTATAATCTGTCAAAACGGCCATCATAGCGTGCCGGTACTGTAGTTTGTTATTATTACTCCTGACACAACGATTGAACGCAAGTTTGTTGCGTGTCAAGATTTTCACCACCATGATATTAAATTACTTCTTGTAAAATTACTAGTTTGTTATAAGACGCTATTCAACGTTGAGTACGGTTTGCTAGAAAACGTTAGTTCGAATACAGCCGGGTCGAAGGAAATTTTCCTTTTTCCTTACCTTTTCTAAGTGTTCGATTATTAATTACAACAAACTAGTGGAGTAATTACACAAAAAATAATTGAATATTATCGTTTGTTTATTTATTTCTGTGTTTATTTATTTTTAGTACAACCAAGAAGACACAAATTACATATAGCAAAGTTGAAACAATGACACAGAGACTTATAATATATAATTATTAATACAAAGATCGAACACTCAGAAAAAATTCCTTCGATCCGGCCGGATTCGAAACGACGTCTTCTAGCATACCGTGTAAGACTTTATACCAACTAAGCCACAGAAATAACGTGACTTTATTATACCAAGGACACTAATGTCCACTTGCACTAAACCTAGGTACGTCTTAAACCAATAATTGCAATGCAAAAGACACTCTTAATACATTGTGTTAAGAGTGTCTTATCAATTTAAGCATTGGTTTAAGGCATACTTAAGTTTAGTGCAAGTGGACATAATTGTGTCCCAAAAATACTTTAAGATAATATAGCTTTATATTGGAAATTAATGTTTGTTTTTCGAATCTAAATGTCGTATATTTGTTTTTTTCAAACAAACTAACGTTTCTGGCTTTCACAGCTGACCACAGAATAATAAATACAGTTAAAGTGCAATCTTGAACTTGTGTTTGTAAGTAACGGTCGTGTCAATTATCTCGCGCAAAACGTTGAAAATACTACAAAAATGCCTTATTTCGCTACTTTGGAGTACAAAAATGATAGTATCACTTATTATATTATTTATGGCGGTGTTACGTATCATCATTAAGTATTATTTAATTTAATTTTAATACATTTTTAATTTTCTGTTTATCATAATCATTTTTTGTTTGTGTTTATCAGAAGCGAAAGTAAACCTTATATCACAGCATTACGGTCGCTTCTTTTTTGGAAAACTAAATAAACATCACGAATTTGATAAGCTATTAACCGCAAGATGGTAGCAAATTGATAGAAATTTCAATATAAAATCGAAACGACGTAACTTGCAATAATAGGTATTAATGGTATTGAACTTTGAACGATATACCAATAGGGTAAGGTTTAAATTATATTAACAGTCCAGAATTTGTTATTTCTTTTTAAATTTGAGATGTGTGATTTTGGCGACTTTTCTGATGGCACTTCCATAGTTTATTTCTTCTAAAAAATAACTTTATATCCAATGTATATTAAAAACTCGATATAAGATTTAACGTAAAGAAAAATAGCTAAATTAATGATTGAGCAAATATAGGTGTAATTGGAAATTGAGAATGTTACAGTAAAAATTAAGTACTCTCTAAGAATTATGTCTTTTGAAAGAGATCTTTAAGTGTTAGACACAATTTAACTAAAATTATTATTAAACTAAAAAATGAACTAAGTTTGGTCTCATGATTATTATACTACCTAAATACATAACATCTAGAATTTTGCAGGGCCCATATGAACTATCTTAACGATCGACAATTCGAAAGATCGAGTTCTTAGGTTTTCGCGATTGTTACACAAATAATAATAATAATAATAACGCACACACTCAACATAGCCCCGCACTAGGGAAACCCTGTGTCGCGGGTGCCATGGACACACACATAGACAACCACAAATTACACCCAAACTCACGAGAGAAATAATTGTAGGCCATACAACTATTTCTCCCGGCCCGGGAATCGAACCTGGGACCTCTGCGTGGCAGTCCGGCATGGTAACCGTTCGGCCACGGAGGCAGTTGGAACAAAGGAAATGAAACTACGTTTCCGGATTTAAATCGCGTATATTCGTTTTTTCAGAAAACATTCCAATTTACGCTTTCTTTTTTTCTTTGTAAAATTAAAAATAAGATATTAAATTAATAACTATTGTAATTATACTGAAAAATAGGGTGGTTTGCATCAATATTAGACATAACTGGTTGAAGACCGTACTACCTCAGTCAACCGTGACCATGGGACCTGTAAAGGGCCCGAAATGTCGGTTTGTTTGAAAAAACAAATATACGCGATTTAAATCCGGAAAAATAGTTTCATTTCCTAATTCGAAAGATCATCAACGTAAGGGTACAGGTGAAATTACAGGCACATGGGATTTGTCACCTGTATGTATCGATTTAAAGCTCTGCATGGCACTGCAACTGTTACGGACAGGCGTGTTATTCACCACCACGAGATTAGTTCGTCCCGTCATTTGATATTATAAAAAACGATAACTTTATTAAAAAAAAACTAAGCCAGAGTAATCGTGTAACGTACACCCAAAATACAGACGAATTCGCCGAGATTCAATTGAGAACCTCCTTTTTTGAAGTCAACTAAAAAGTAAGATTTAACAAACTCAATTGGAAAAAATCGGAATCAAAATCTCTACCATTGTCCGAATTTCAGAGGTACACGTCAGGTACACGTTCGAAACCTAGTTTTCTTTTACCAACCATGATTACAGTCTTTGCAACCGTGGTACAGTTAACTTATCTCGAATACTCCTTAAAGTAGCCAACTTAGCTGGTGAGCTGGGCACCGTTTGCTCTTCAGGTCTTCGCATAGGTCTTGAAGGGGGTATGCAGGTTCGGGGTACGTTGGCAATGTGGGGATGTGACTTGACGTGTTTTCGGAGGGATGATGGGTCGGTATATCGCTTACCACAGCCCGCTGCTCCGCAGGCATAGGGTCTCTGTAAGCAAACAGTTTATAAACCAGTTACTTTGTACATCCATTTGCTGTTGGCATCAGTCTAGAGTTTAGCTGGACAGCCATTGTGAAGGGACAAACAAGTCCTGCGCCTGGTGTTAAGCGACATGCCTGTCCATAACAGTTCCAGTGCCCCACTGAGCTTTACATCGCAAAGATAGAACACTGCCACTGCGCCTGTCACCTTGAAGCATTAGTTGATAAGTCTCACATTAATTTCACCAAAACCCTTGCCCTTCAAAATCGGAACGCAGTAATCTATGTTAAAATCTTGTTTTTCCTACTTGACTTGCGTAGTTTCACAAATTGAATCAGTACTTACAGCATTGAAGTGCGTCCTCTGATGTTTAGCGCGATCTGAAGAGTTGGAGAAGGCTTTTCTACAATGAGGAGCAAGACAGGCATAAGGACGCTCCCCTGTGTGAGACCGCACGTGGATTTTTAAGTTCTCTAGACGGGAGAATGCTTTCCCGCATCCTGGGTGCTGTGTTTGGAAAAAAACAATTGAAATTAAGATACAAGATTAGGAATTGAAACGAAATAACATGAAGAAGGTATAACATTTCACACAGTTGAAGTGAAAGGCATTTAAAAAAAAACAATAACAACATTACACTAAATAAAAATGTACAATGGACTATTTTCATATCTTTACTACATTTTTCTTTAATAATACAGAATAAAAAGAAAAACTTACAAGACATCTATTAGGTTTATGGCCGGAATGGACTCGCATGTGGATCAGCAATTTGTATCGAGCGTTAAATGGTTTGCGCGCGCGCGTACATTCTTTCCAGAGGCAGCTGAATTCATCACCTGAAAAGATAAAATAATTACTGTAATTGTATGCACTCTTAAGAGCCGAGTAAATATGGTTATAGCGCTGCCAACAGTGCCTCAGGTACCTTATTGTGTCATCACTTGATTTAGCCAAAGTCCTTAATAAGTAGTTAAATTGAATACATACTATAACGAAATCTGCACGAAACAGATTATGTATTATGTGAAATTTAATAACTCTCCTATTCTTTGGTTACAATCACTACAATTGACGGGTTTGCGATTACAATAAGTTATCTTAGTCCATACTTTAACTACCGAACTACTTAAGACATTTGGATACTCTATTATAAACAATATTTTTATAATACTTACCTTTGTAAGTATTGACGTGTAATCTTTCAATGTGTTCCACTAAAGTGTTTTGGTTTGGATATTTATCATAACAATTTTCCCAAAGGCATATTCTTTCACCTGAAAAAATACTCCATTAATTTACAAGCCTTTGTGTGTTAGAACTGAAATAACACTGCATTAAGATTTTAATACTCTACCTTGTGCTTTCTCCTTTTCCTTCCTTTCGGTATAACAGTGACTGGTGTTATTGTAGTCATATGTGACTTCGTTTTCTCTTTCGAAATTGAGTCCAAAGTCGTCTAAATTTACGAACAAATCTTCTTCCTCAAATGTTTCTGAATAGTTTGAACTTTGTACATCGCTCTCGATAGACTCTGATATTGAAACCTTTCTTTCATTTCTGTCAAAATGAAACTCATTAACACTGGTTGGTGTATCTGGTAAGATATAGCTCTTTCCGCAATCTAAGTTGTACAAGATATTGTTCGGATAACTGTAATGCTCCAAACTATTGATTGGTTGCGAAATTGATAATTCAGTTTGATTGTAAACGTGTTGTGTGTCATTATAATTACAGCAACGTTTCGAAAATGTATCTATAGACGGCAGTAGATTCTTTTCATTTGATATATGTTCTTCTTTAAATTCAGGAGTTAATCTTTCTCCGTCTTCTCTACAAAGTTCATCTATTAGAGATTCATCGTCTATGTAGTCATTAGTTCCAAAAAGTGTCGTTTCGATATCGGTTTTATTTTTTTCATCAATGGATTCTGTTTTAAAGTTTTTGTCATCAAACTCTATACTATCCAAATCGAGCAACACTTCTTTGATATTCTGCTCATTAATGTTATTATCTATAACTTGATCTATTATTTCAAAATCTGTATTATTGTTGGTGTCTCCATCCCAATTGTCTAAAACTTCAAAATCAAAGCTTTCTTCGTTACCAAATTTGAAATAGTCTACTTTTGTTTTGCTTTTATTACAATTTTCTAACTCTAAATTAAATTGCGTCATGTAGTAGGCGTGTAAATCTGATATGTCGTTTTTGTCCTGAAATAGGTCTTCGTACGGTAGCGTATCGTAGTCCGCCATCTTAGGTTCAATTACCTAAGTACTCCAATTGACATGTGGTCTTGCGTTAGCGCATGTGGTTTTGCTATTATTACAAAAATAAACTTTCTCTTCGTGGCATCTGCGAATTATAACATAGTTTTTTTTATGTATTATGCTATATAGTTTTAGCGAACACGTGTTAAACGGGTGTTTATATCTATTCGTTTTATGCTTTGAAGGAAGTTAAAAGTCTTTTTGTGGATGAAAATTACGGATGTTGATATTTGATATGTGATATATTTTTGGTCTAAAAGAACGTTAGACAAAAGGAAATTGTTTTAAGTTCATTAGTGTATGTATTTTTTATTGCTTTTAACTTAAAGATTTATGAGTCGACTAATTAAGAGGTTCGAATAGTTCGTAAAAATTTAAATAAGATAAAAATGGTTATTGTAGTGTACAGCTCTTGATGAAGAAGTCCTGGGGTCAATAACCAGGAGGAGCAATGTTAGAATTTTTGAACTTTGGTTCTGGGCTTTTCTGGGATATGCCCTAGGAGTTAACATACTCTGGTAATCATAAGACTTACAAGAGCGAGTCATGCTCGGCTTTGAAACTTATAGATCGAGTTCCGAATTCCGAAAACCGTAGACGAACTAAGGTACAAGACATGGGGATCGGATAACAAGTTTCAAATGGAACTGGGCGGGACATGTTGCGAGACGTGGTGAACACAGGTGGAGTAAGGCGATAACCAAACGGTGGCCAAGAAATGGACGTAGAAACGTGTGACATCCTGTAGCGAGATGGGTGTACGACATTGTCAAAGTTGCGGGCAGTAGATTGGTGACATTAGCACAGGGTCGTGGTGGATGGCACAAACTACGGGAGGCCTATACCCAGCAGAAGCAGAATTCGGGCTATCGATTATGATGACTCATAAGACAGGGAATTCCCTTCTTTGAGACATAGTACAATTTACACTAGTGTAACGAACCTAAGATGCTTCTCGTATCGATATTTAAAAATTAAGACAGAAGCAACGTTTTTTGAGCCAGCACATTTTTTTTAACGTCCATGACTTTTGTTAAGCATTATTAAAATCAATACAACAAATATTAATTTCAGATTAATAGATAATTATTTGGATTTATATCAAATTGGCTTTAAAGGTATTTTGAGTTTTTTTTTTACATTATATGTTCGACTGCTAGGCAGTTTCCCCGAAAAGGGTTTAAGCCATTCTTCCCCAGGGTGGCAAAAGAAGGGTTGGAGACTTTCAGGGGTTGTGATTTTCGTTGTTAATGAATATTTGAAAACTAAAATCATAGGCACAGGGAATTGAACCGTCGGCTTTCAACTGACAAACCACCGCTCCTTTCTTTTAAGAGCATATTAGAATTCTAAATAATAACTTATGTTTAATTTTTAGCCTTTTAGTTGGTTATAATAACGTTCAAATTGAAAGTACAAAATCCCTTCACTAACAAAACATAATTTTTCCTATTTTTTTATGATAAGTGACAGAACGAACAACTCGTGGCGGTAAGTGACACGCCTATCCATAACAGTTGCAGTGCCACTCAGAGCTTTAAATCGCAATGATCTGAGGGGCACTGCCACAGTGCCCGTCATCCTGAGACATAGGTAGACAAGTCCCAAGTGTAAGATGGCAGTAAACTTGCTTGGCGAACACTTTCACAAGCAGTTCTACTGCTAAGGAACATCATTAAAGAAAACTGTATATTATTCTAATTAATTAATTACGTAACAAGGTAATATTAATCTTACCTATGGAAATTTCCCGCCAAAAGTAACGACACGAATTCACAATTCTTTTTTTAAAACTTTCCTTTTTTAAATTTAGTTATGGGCAAGTGATGCCGCTTTACAGCCAATGTATGAATTGAATACAATGTCAAATGTCAAACTGACACTTAAAACTGTCACTTGTGAATAATACGTCTTAACCGTACTATATCCCGATTGGGAATAAACAGGAGAGCTACCGGGTTTAAAATGAATCCTGAAACACGTGGTACTATTGTCGTGACAAAAATAAACTTACCGCTTGTAAACCTCTTATTTACCGTCCTTAGCACCCTTTGCTATATAACCATAAGGTCTATAATGTAATAATGTTAGTTTGATGAAAGATAATTTGAGTTTGTTGAGTTGCACGATTCTTTACATCTATATGTGTCTATTTAAAAATGCTTATTGATTCATTTGTCCTTTTTAGCTGCCTTTTTTGAACGGATTCTGATTTAAGTTTATTTTTTAATCTTCATTAATCAGTCGCATCACTATTTAGTCGTCATAGAAATAAAAATAGTGACGTCTGGAGATTTTGAATATAGCGACGGATTTTTGCCGGGTGTCTCATTATATTTACGGGTTGCTGGAACGTTGTTTAAATTTAACGTTCTTAAATAGTACATAGACATTGTTGGCTTTTTAAGTAATTATAATAATAATAAACAAATCATTTATTTACCATCACTTGTTAGTAAATACAGAGACAAAACATGAAACACACATTATTACGCTCAAGGCGCCGCCGATTACGCCATCACCTCACCAGAACCTGGATGAAGCCGCAAACGTTTCTGGGTGCTGTTAGGACTAGATCGCAGTCTGGAAAGTAGTGACGCCGTCTTTTTTCGCATCACAGCAAAAAAATCACTTACTCCCGCTTGAGCAAACATCGACGATGCCCTACTATATCGCGGTCCCAACAGCATCCTCATTTTGTTGCTGTTATATTGAACGCGCAGAGCGCCGAGTGCCTCATGCGTCATTAACTATAAACCACAGACCACTCGTGTAGAAGAATTGATACCCGACAACTCCAGCATTTGTGAACCGATTTTGATGATTCTTTTTTGTTGGAAAGAGGGTACCTCGGTTGTGGTCCCATTTTTTAGTACTCTGTTTTGACTTCCTGACTACAGCGGGCGAATCTATGTGCTAATTATTTATAATTCTGTGTAGCCGTCGTAGCCTATTTAACATCCCAATAAAACTGCACGTCGAAGAAGGTTAACAACCCTCGGAAAACCTGTGAAGTCCTCAAACCGCATTGGACTAGCCATAATAGGAGATATAACACTAAACGCAGTCATTGATAATTAATTAGTAACAGTGTTATAAAAAAATACAACAAAGCCGTGAATCTCGACAAATTTAATGACTCGCTAGCTATGTTTAAAAATAAAATTATAATTTTTTTTTATTCAAAATTCTAAAAGATCTGTTTCGTACCATATCGCTTATTGAAATTCTGATTCTAATGTAGGGATAATATTGTTTTTACTTTTTTCTTTTCAACTCTAAAGAAAGTAGGGATGATAATTATAAAGAGTAATTTAATAATTAATTCTCATACATCCTAGAATCTGTATAGCTTACACTTTAAACTTTGTAGCTTATTGTACATTTGCTATTACTGTATTTGCATCATGTTAGCTTGCCTATACAATAAATAAATAAATTTTAAGTAGTAAATATCATAGTGGTTTTTTTTTGCGGCAAATGCCATATATATATTATGTGTAGGTAATTTGATGACATTTAAAATTTAATTACAAAGCACACCTAAGTACTTAAAAGTTAAGTTTCTTAGTTCTAATAGCTATTGTCGAGTTCTTCTACACATTCAATGAAGTTTGCAAACCCGAGGTCCTTGCAAAGGAAGTCCGTTATCTACCCAGGATGCTGCTAAAGGCCATTGAAACTAAAAAAACATCCTAATTTCAACAGGGAATATGGTTCCTCCGTACCACCAGTTTGGGATCCAGTATTTCCTCTGACTACAGTACTAATTAATATGTTTTAATTTATTCTAATTTACATTATTAATTAATAATAAATATAACTTAATAAAAATTCACATTGTTAAAAGAAAATAATTTGTAAAACATAATGTGGCGTAAATTGGAATGTTCTTTGTAAAATTAAAAATAAGATATTTCATTATGGTGGTTTGCATTAATATAAGACGTATCTGGTTGATGACTTCACCACGTTTGTTTGAAAAAACAAATATACGCGATTTAAATCCGGAAAAATAGTTTCATTTCCTACTAATACCTATTGTTACTATGTTTTCTTTAGTAAGAAGTTTTTGCATTGGAAAAAAGTAATGATTATAATGTTAATTAAATTTTTATTGAATTGATATTCAATTATTTTTTGTGAAATTACTCCACTAGTTTGTTATAATTAAATTAAAAAATACAATACGTATTAATAATTATAACAAACTAGTGGAGTAATTTCAATAAAAATTTAATTAATACAGTGAATAGCGACATCTCTCGCCAGGACTGGTAGCTGTAAAGGTACTAACTGGGTGATAAGTCTGTAATAGATTTCTCATAGATGGCGCTACGAGTAAACAGTCGTTGAAAGACCAAGTACAAAGACACGACGCAAGCACATAGAAAAATTCGTGAGGTCCGTTGGTTCGTTCCGTGGCTTAGTTGGTATCCGACCGAATCGAAGGATTTTTTTCTGAGTGTTCGATCTTTGTATTAATGATTATTATGTTGTCAAATTAGTCTATTGGTTTATATTCAGGTCAAGCTTCCATATCAATTAGAGGGACAATTTTTAACCAGACTCAATGACACGTTAAAATATGCACAGCAATTGGTTGTATTAAATGGGCTGATGTTGAATTATAAATCTGGCTTTTTCTTTATCATATCAAAATTAGAGACAGTGTGTTCTTTAATAGAGCATTACAGTTAATTGTATAAATAAAAATTAATGCACTGTGGGCGCTAGATTTTTTTTTATAATACCAAATGACGGGACGAACAAGTTGTGGGTCTGATGGTAAGATATATGCCAGGGGGCCTACCATAACCTTTCCAAAAACAATCTTATTTCAATGTAAGCATAAAGTAAGCTTATTGTAATATTACTTATTTTCGTACCATGACAAACCTATCAACCAAGTAACGTATTATTGCTAAAGCGACTGAAAGAACGATTTATTTCCCAATATTGTCTATTCCTTACTAAAAGTAGGA